GGACCTTCATTGGTCATCTAATAGACGTCTACTGGAAGGTGTTAATCTCCATGACAAACGTATAATGGACGTCCATTAGAAGTTTTGTTTCTATGTGGGTGGCATACATTATTTATTGTAAATGGAAATGGCCTATGAAAGAAAATGTTCTAATAAAAGTAATTAATGTAATTACTTGCTCCAACGTATAAAAGTATTTACCCATTATTCGTCAACACTGCGAATTTTTCAATGTCACACCGACTTTGCACTAACACACGTACAAAAATCCTGTGATTGGTCAGAATAAAAACATGTCGGATGCGCAGTACGGATCGGCGCGAACGTGAAACAAAAGAGCGAGTGCCACTACTGGTTATACTGTGGTGAAAAGGCAGCTTCAGGGCGACGTCCCATGGAGCGGAATACGCGGAAGCGGAATCAGCGGATCGCCAATCACAAGACCGTTTCGACGGAATTTTTGAAAGGGCTCTATCAGAATAATCTTGCGATTGGCGATCCGCTGATTCCGCTTCCGCGTATTCCGCTCCATGGGACTCCACCCTTAGAAGATGCGGACAACTCCACTCACAGAACGCTGGGTCTATATATGGCTTTGTTTACACCGTAAAATTATTTGATACGTGAACCAAAATGATGCGTACCAAATGTTAAATCCGACTGCGTTTACACCATGTGTATTAAGTGTGCAAAAAAGTACATTAAGGTTAGGTTTGATACAGAAACGTATTATATTTAATTTGGTTGGAAAATCGGTGATCCTTAGATTGCGATGGATTCGGAAAATATTATCAGTTGTTTATTTACAAGCTTAATTAGTCGGACTTTTAAAAATAAGTCAAGATTTTCGAAGAAAACCTCATCTCACCTAACCGTAACGTTCCTTCGATAATTATTATTTAATGCGCTACAGTTTACATCGACACAAAATTACTTGATACGCATACTAAATTGGTACGATACTCCTTTTGCAACCGTATCGTACCAGCTATCCAGCAGGAAAAATAGCATCGTCTGCAGCGGGCTTTAGTGCTACCTGGGATATGTCTATGGAAGTCACTAGAACTCATTTGCCGCTGGTTTCTAGCGTCCATGAAATTGCACCTTAAAGGTCCCATTTCATTGACGCTACGATTTAGCGTCAAATATAGTCACGTGACAAATATAGTGACTAGGGCTGCGTTCAGAAACGTCACCCGAATGCACCGGTGTATCATTTTATCCTTGTTTAACATACGGTGAGCAACAAGGATAGAATAATACGCTGGCGTACTCGGGTGGTGTTTCTGAACGCAGTCCTTGCGACACCCAGTCACACCACGGCACACTGAAAAGTTGAGACGGTCTCAACTTTTCCCCTCCTTCGTCGAGAAGTCACTAGAGAACTCATTTGACGCTGGTTTCTAGCGTCAATGAAATTGCACCTTAATGATACTTTGGACCACTCGGATGGTGTTTCTGAACGCGCCCCAGAATAAGCTCTGCCCCTACCAATAGCAACCTTGGTATATGACCAAACGATCGCCAAAAATCACCTCATGTTTACTACCGCGACCTCCCTTTCGCGTGTTCCTTTTTATTTCCTACTTTTTTATCAATAACAACAAACCGATAGAGTCGAATTAATTTTAATTAGCTTGAATCAACGAGACAAACTCCGACAATCTTCGATCTCTTTTAGCAGTGTATTCCCACGAATATATCCGCACGCCCTTTGCCGTTCGCCACCGAGCGCGAGACACACGACTCGCGAATCCGATTGCGTTCTGTGACTGCTAAGCAAAAATGGGATCGTTGACGAGTAGGCAGAATGCTGGCGTCGAGGAGGTTCATATCCCTTCGAACCACGCGTTATATAAATACCCTCCACGATCCGGTATTTGATTTATTTCAGTTGTGCAAAGCACTCGTGCTATATTTACAAGATAATGCATGACTTTCCCTTTGGCACTCATCAACGCGCTGATTACTCCCGACAGGATCCTACTTTGGCAGTCATTTCATAATGGGCGGCGAACGATTCGATACGCCCCAGCCGGAGGCGTACCTCTTTGGAGAAAATGCAGATTTGAATTTCCTAGGCAGCCGACCAACTTCTGTAAGATAAAATCGGTGCTTTCCGCTTACCGACGCAAGTTGACACAACATCATTTTGTCCTTTGTTCGCTGAATGTTGGCGAAAAAAAGACCGACTAACGCTTGCGTCGACTCGCGTTGCTAAACGGAAAGCACCAGGTGTTACAATTGTTCTTTCTATGTTTATAAAATTTTCATACATGAGGGGGCCCTTTAAATGTAGACGCATATATACTGGATTGTTCAACTTTTATTTGTTCTTTGCTGTAACACAGCAGTTGATCGCGTTTCGTCCTCGTTGCAGTTTCCGTATCCTCCGCCACAAGCCAACGACGCTACAAAGACGTTAAAGAGTTTGGTGAACATACGCAAGGAGTCATTGAGACTGGTTCGTAACATGGACCAAACGTCGACGTCCTCGCATTACCATGTCAAGCATTACGGCGACGGCGACATCGACAAGAAGCCCAATCGCTTTAACATTGAATTTGTGTTCGACTGCGACGTGAGATGCGCGATAACGATTTATTACTTTTGTACGGAGGAGTTTTCGACGAAGGAAGTCGGGTATGTACAACGGTATGTAAGGGATGTCACTGAACAGAAGACGCTTGATGAACGAATTGTTTTCCTTCTGTCAAATCCAGATACGTATCGCGGGATTCGTCAATGAACTCCGAAACATATCATTATAAGAAAGGAGCGAACCAATTATTCTCGCAGACGTCACACATATTTGATCCATCGTTGTATACCGAGGAGGATCTGCTGTACAATCCAGATAAACAAGTACTCGCGACACGCAGACACACACAGTGCCAGCCAAAGAAGCCCGCGCTAATCATATAGGAAATTGGATCTTGGTTAAATTGGCTAGTTTTTACATATGTTGTAGCTTATGACCTGCTGAACAAAAAATGTAATGGGCTCAAACTTAAGTAATGGCTAGTTACTGGGCTACAACCAGTCAAACATGGAAAATTTGGGCTCCGCGGGTCTTGTTTGGAAATTGTTTGAAAGGGAGACATAAGACAATGCCATTAATTTGACCTTGGATAATTTGAAGGTCACATGAAGGTCAATTTCAATTTCTTAAATGGACACCCCCATTTTTCATTGCACATTTTTATGTCAAGAGTTTTTCAAAGACACTATATAGTGAAATATAGTCTTATTTCGAACCAAACAAATATATATATCGAACCAAGCAACTTTTGTCTGAAACAGTTTTTCCTAATATGCTTCAAAGTATTTCCAAAGACCCGCGGAGCCCAAATTTTCTGTTTGACTGACTATAGCCCAGTAACTAGCCATTATTTAAGTTTGAGCTCATTATATTTTTTGTTCAGCAGGCCATAAGCTACAATGTGAAAACTAGCCAATTTAACCGAGATCCAATTTCCTATATGATTAGTGCGGGCTTCTTTGTATCACCTTTCGATTTTTTCAGCTACACGGAAAGAATTTTCTCTTAAAATTATGTAATTGTGGGACAACATAGCGTTTTGAAGAATTTTATGACTTTTTGGAAACTTCACCATACATTCTACTACTAAATTGTCCATAACTATTTTAAAGACTACACCTTGTTACCTGCGTATGGCTCGCATTGCCTGCCCTCTACTGGTTTTTGTATTTTGAGAGCCTAGATTTACTGGATTTTGTATAATTACTAGTAAAATGTCTGGTAAAATTTCAAGCATCCACAAAATTCTTCTAAATGTTATGTCTCACGATTACACGATTTTTCAGGATAAACTTTAGGAACAAAATTTCTCCGTGTAGTTTTACTAGATATTTGGAAAATTGTGGTGTATTTTATCAAATTTCACGATCCTTTTGTGTACAAGATGTACCTGTTATCAGGTGTCTACTGTAAAAGTCTTGGGCACGTTCGATGCACTTTGACGAAAGTTACCCTCTGGAAACCTAAGGGTGATATAATTTTGGCCGGTACTGCGTAATCCTTAATAAGATGAAACCTTCAAGCAGAATAAAACACTTTTTTTTTATCTGTAGATTATCCCAATAGCTATACAGTGTGTAGCGGAGGAAGGATCGGACGAAATAAAACAATCTCATACAACTATAGCTGTGGTAGAGAAACATTCTGATGGAACCTATGTGTTAAAAGCGCTTAAACAGAAGCTGTACGTGGACGGCCTCTACTACTTGGTGCAGGAGATATATGGAATTGAGAACAAGAATACCGAAAACGCAAAGGTATAAAGAATGTACGGTGATATTGAATAGCTTATTCTATGTAGGTACGCGCTTCCAGATCAAGTTGTAACCAGTATCTTCCCTCACTTTTCGTGAAATTTAGCGATTCTACTCTAGACGTTTCTACATTGGGATCTTTGTGCGTGGATAAAATATTATTTTTTTATCTTTGCACGTTGGATAAGAAGGGATAAAAATCTCACTTGTTCTGTTTCGACTTTATTTTGCTCGCGTAAAAAATTGAAAATACTCTCACCGAGTTTCACGAAGGCCGAACAATCTCGGAGTTTCAGTTTTACTTTCTTTCCTCGTACAGCAACAAGGCAGCGACGAGGACACCGAGGACAACGGCTCCGAGTGCGTTATTTGCATGAGCGAGGTACGCGACACGTTGATCTTGCCGTGCAGGCACTTGTGCCTGTGCAACTCCTGCGCCGACTCGTTGCGATATCAAGCGAACAATTGTCCGATATGTCGCGCGCCATTCAGGGCGCTCTTGCAAATTAAAGCTCTTCAGAAAGCTACTGGGACAATTATATCCAATCCACCGTTGCCAGAGGTGAGAGTAGTCGGACGATAGATTACTTGAGTGTTTTGCTATTTTTGACTACTTCAAATATACATGCAGTACCGGCCAAAATTATATTGTTTTTCGATTTTTTTTAGCATAACTAGTCTTAAGGCCTGCGTCTTAAGCCTTTGACAAAGTTCTAGCATTATGGACACAGGCCTTTAAAGTACACGAATGAATAATTCGAAAATCATGGTGTATTTTGTCTAATTTTATTACCGTTTATGTACAAGATGCACCTGTTGTCAGGTGCCTACTGTAAAATTTTGAGCACGTTCGATACACTTTGACGAAAGCTATGCTTAAAAATAAAAAAGATGACATAATTTTGGCGGTACTGTACATTTCACAATAGTTTTCGAGATAACTCAGTATGTTCTTTATTTATTGTGGTTACTAAGCATCGTCCAATACACTTTGCAATTATTATTCCAGGAAAGCTGCGAGAATATCCCGCCGGGCTACGAGGCGGTGTCTCTGATAGAAGCCTTAAATGGACCTTACACTCCGCGAACTGCCATTATCGCGCCGGAATCGCCGGATACTCCCGATACAGATACGGCAAGTGCCATTCAAGCCGCGGAAACTTTAAATCGGTTTGCATCGTAATCATGTGTATCTTTACGATCATTTATGTAATATATGCGAATAGAGTAACGTACGTGAAAACTATGTCTATTTACAGCTCGGCCGAACGTACCCCGATCTCGAAACACACATCCGCTAAAGAAACTGACATACCGGCCAGATCTAGCAGTACCACTTGCCCAACTCCAGAATTTCGTATGTCCGTGTTGTTAGCCAGAGACGAGCACTCGGGTTCGCAAAAAGAGCTGCATAACAGGTCCCCGGCTATGCGTACCAAATCGGTACATTCGCGCGATAAATCTGGCTTAAGGACGCGCGACACCTTGAGATTAGTCAACGAGAAACAACCAGCTTCTTTATACGAGGTGTGTTATTTTATGCATCAAGGGAATACGTCGTAGTCTATTTTAATCCCAAAATTTTTTATATTGTAGAACAAAGAACGAAGAGAATTTTAAAAAAACGATGGTTTTGTACACGGAGAGAATTTTTGCTTAAAATTTATCTGAAAATTATCGTCGAACAATACGGCATTTTGAAAAATTTTATGAGAATCTTTTGATACTTTATTATACATTTTGTAGTAAAATGTAGGAAAAAATTTTGTAATTATGCATAAAAGGAGCCTTCCCTCCAATTTCGTTTATTTTTTAGTATGTTGGGGGGGGGGTCTTCCCAAATAATTTCATATATGTATATATGTATATATGAGTTGAACTCAAATAATTTCGGAGATATAAGCTAAAAAAGGATGAAAATAATGAATACAAAAATAAGCATTTGATAAGTTTTAAACCCATGTAGAACCTCGCTTTGCATTAAAAAGTATATGTGTGGAGGCAGTATGTTCCGCCCCCTCCCCTGCGGGGGGGCTGCACTACTAAAAAACTAACTATACTCACACGTACACATAGGTGTGGGTTGAATCTCGCTTCACGTATAAAGTTAGGATACCATTTACAACTCGCCACGCGAAGTGAGATTCAACCTACACCTATGTGTAGGTGTGGATATAGTTAGTTTTGTAGTAGTGGAGCGGAACATATTGCCTCCACACATATACTTTTTAATGCAAATCAGATAGTTGGAGATCGTATAATTGTCTGAATGATTGTAAGTTTAACATCTTAAAGTAAATCATAAGATTAATTTCATCGATCCCGATAGCGGTGCTCGCACACAAAACATCGAGCGTGCCTGGCGAGACACACGTGCTAATATTCCTCGCTACGGAACACATGAAAAACATTATGTAGGATACCTTGCTGAATTTCTGTTTCGTCGTAAATGTAACTTTGATACACGTATTACTGCATTTTTCGACGCACTGGCTGAAATCTTTCCAATTCCTAATGATAATGTTGAATAAATTGTTATCAAATGCTTATTTTTGTATTTATTATTTTTATCCTTATCGGCCTTCATTTACGGACAATATAAAAATTGCGTTTATTAGGGATATTAAATATATTGTTATATTTTCAAAGGGACAAGGCCAGGACGAAGACAGCGAAGCAGAAAAGTTGTCGCCGTTACTAGACGCAGCGACGAGTACCGAAGCTTTGGACGTGCATTCCCGCAGAATATGTGACATTGACATGGACGACGAGATTCAAACTACAGGGAACGAAAATGACGTAGACGTTACCTGTCATTCGCACTAGAAAGCGGTCTTAATATATCTTTGTACTGTGTTCCGTCTTATTTCATTAGGTATCGTTTACAAAATATTTTATTTTGTACTGAATTTCTCTGACGAGTTTAATGCGGGTGCTTTCCATTTACGTGACGAGGGAGAGAAAGTGAAGGAGAACGACGGACTGACACAGTGGAAGAGATGTTAGCTCAAAACAATGGGCGTAATGGAGTGCAATAAATGAAAGTCATAATTTGTGTGAATAGAAATGTAGAGATTATATGATTATATTGTAGATATACATATGTATAGTCGTAGTCAGAAAGTTGTCCAATGTTTTATGATAAATTTCGGAAGTACAGTCTGTCATACGAGAGATTATAAGCCTTTGCTCATGAATGTGTGCAGCGACGCTTTATTGGAGCAAAGGAATGATATATATATCTGTGCAATGATACACACGAATATTCCGAAAACTTATTGTAAAACGTCGGACGACCTTTCTGACCATGACCGTACACGCGTGCGCGCAACTACACTACAGTATATATATAGTATTTATTTTTATAAAACAAAACATTTGTGTATACTTTAACGGATAGGAGTTATTAAGTTTAGGAGATTCCTCTTATTTCTCAATCTATTATAGAGCTCGCTCGAGTCTTGTGAAAACAGAAGAGTTGAATTGCGTCGCTAAATGGAAAGCCCCTGATAGCATAGAATGTTTTATTCTGCAAAATAACTAATATAAACAAGATACAATTGCATCTCTTGCGAATCTTTATACCTATTAGAATCTCGAATAAGACGCGTATGTACAATTTGTCAAATTGTAGACTGGGACAGTACTTTGTAAGAGAGGAAACGTTATGTGTCACATTTTTTTTAGAACAGTAAGATGTAATTATCAAATTCGTTTACATGCTAATTGACATTAGATAATAAAGTGCTTCCATTTGGCGTTTATCAATTTTACTAATTTTAGAAGGTTATTAAAATATAGACAGAGTAGTGAATCTTACATGTGATATACATAAATTTCAAATTGATTATTGAACTTGTTAACTTAAAATTTCTTCGATATATCTAATTTCATTTTTTTTTTCTATAAAGCCATACCAATAAAGAATGTTAAAAGTGTAGTAAAATTATTCTTGTTCCTAGTCCAAATCAAGAGATAGGAAATAATTCTGACGACTCCCTATCCTTTTCCATCTTATTATTTAAAAAGAGATAATCAATTAACCTTCGGTTAGCAGCTAACCGACGTTTGTGAAACCGCAGCTTAGACTATTTTAGGGCGTTTTAAGAAATTGTATACTCTGCCTTTTTTTCTGATTATTCATTTTATTCAATTCAATGTCCAAAATCTTCAATGCTTATTTAAGCCGCAGCAAGTACCTTCCTGAACTTCTTCCATTCTTCGAGCGGTCCATGCTCAGGCAGATACTTGACATTGCAGCCGTCCGGGGCAAGGCGGCCCGCCACTTTCAGTTCCTCATACTCTGTACGATCGTACTTCGTGAAGCCCCACTTCTTCGACACATAAATCTTTTGGCGACCAGGAAACTTGAACTTAGCACGTCGCAGAGCTTCAATGACGGCCGCCTTGTGTCGGTCAGAAGAACGCACGCTCATAATGGGTTGACCAATGTGTACCCTAGCCACAGTGCCTTGCGGCTTACCAAAGGCACCTCTCATTCCAGTTTGAAGCCTACAAACAAAATAATATTACAGAAACTTATCGGACAATAATTAGGGATAGTTTGTCCAACTGTACAGGATAGGAAATAAAGTTACATGACAAAATTCAGTGCGGCAAAATCTCTAGAAATGAAACAAGTTTTATCTTGTCACACAAAGTTGCAATACCTATCGGCTCCAGCACACGACAACATTTTGTTGATGCGAATAACATGGAACGGGTGGAGTCTCATACGAATATGAAACTGATCTTTTCCAGCATTTTTCACCATGTACTTGTTAGCACAAATACGTCCGGCTTCTAGAGCCTCAGAGCTAAGCTGCTCGTACTCATCGGACACCAAGTGAACGCATAATGGAAAGTCCTCGACAGACGCCTTCTTCTTTCCAAGATCAAAAATGCGGATCTTTGGGTCTGGCACACCGCGACAGAATCTGGATTTTGGATACGGCTTGTTTTTACAGTACCGGTAACTACAAAAAAAGAAACAATTCTTAAAATGCATATTTACATTACAACATAACGGACGCAATTACAATGAAACTTTAATGTCACAATGTTGCGCAAAATAAGGTAATTGCAAATCTTTATCTGAAATACGTACGTCGTAAAAAGACCCAACCTCACAACACATAAAAAATGACACATGGAGCATCACGTTAATAATTCTCGTATAAAAATAACATGCGGTTTTTAGTAAATAGAAAAAGATGTCACAAATTGATGGAGTAAATATAATTTGTAGGAACAAATTAAAAATCTCATTACGTACCATCTTGCTGGTCGGCGTCCCATTTTAACCTACAATTTAAATGAAATGTGCATCAAGAAAAGCTAGAAATACATGAATTAACGTATTCAGAATAGTTCCAAGAAATACAGAATGCGAGGGAATATTTAATATATATTACGATGACGAGAAATAACAACGGATAAAGAAATTATATCTCACCGACCCACGATGGAGCTAACCACCATGCAAGCAAGGAAAAGGAAGAACGAATACAGAGATGCGTTTCTACCAACGGTCTAGAGACCCTAGAAGACAGAGACTGGACAACTTGGGACTTCACGTGATTGGTGCACGTGACTTGTGTCCACAAAATGGCGCCGCCCAATAGGAAGTCTTGCTGATTCAGCGCGAACAAGTAGACAATTTGAAATTCGCTCACTCTCCGAGTATACAATTTAAATTTACTATCACTACGAAGTAATGATATATAACTACTATGTAATAATAATCTTCTGATAAATGTATATATCGTATAAATAAAGTATATGTGTATTCGCGACGCTTGCGACGCAATGTCCACGATGCTAGAACTTGGTCCAAGTTTT